AGCTATCCATACATATGGCAACACATACAGGTGAGAAACCCTACAAATGTGACCAGTGTGACTTTGCTTCCGCACAGAAAACAAATTTAGACCGGCACATTCTTACACACACGGGGGAGAAACCCTACATGTGTGGGGAGTGTGGATTCAGGACAGCTGGCAGGCAAAGCCTAACCATACATATGAGAAAACATACAGGTGAGAAACCCTACAAATGTGACAAGTGCGACTATTCTGCTACACAGAAAACCCACTTAGACCGGCACATAACTATGCACACCGGAGACAAACCCTTCACGTGTGGGGAGTGTGGGTACAGGACAGCTTACAACGCTCGCCTAACTATACACATGAGACAACATACAGGTGAGAAACCCTACAAATGTGACCAGTGTGATTATTCTGCTGCGCACACAAACACTTTAGCCCGACACATGGCTACCATACACAAGGGCGACAAACCTTACATGTGTTCCATGTGTGGATACAGGACGTCAGACAAGTCTGCACTAACTGTACATTTCAGAAGACACACTGGTGAGAGACCCTTCAAGTGTAATCAGTGTGACTACTCTGCTGCACAGAGAGCTGCTTTTGACCGACACATGGCCAGACACACCGGAGAGAAACCCTACATGTGTGGGGAGTGTGGGTACAGAACAATTGCCAGAGATAACCTAACTGTACATATGAGAACACATACAGGTGAGAGACCGTACAAATGTGACCGGTGTGACTTTTCTGGTAAACGGAAACGTGATTTGGACCAACACATGGCTTCTAAACACACTGGAGAGAAACCCTACTTGTGTGGCCGCGGAGAGTGTGGCTACAGGACTGCCATCAGGTCTAACCTAGCTACCCATATTGCTAGAAAACATGCAAGTGAGCACGAGAAACCCTACAAATGTAATGTGTGCAACTATTCTGCTGCATGGAAGTCTATTTTAGACACACACATGGTTAAACACACTGGAGTAAAACCCTACATGTGTGAGAAGTGTGGATACAGGACAACTACAAACTGTAACCTGTTAAAGCACATGAGATCAAAACATGCAGATGAGAATCCAGTACAAGATCAGCAGTGTGACTCTACAGTCTTCCCTGATCAGAACCAACTCATGGCTCCACACACTGAGATGGTTCAGGACAAGGACTTACCTGTGTTCACAATGTGAGAAAACATGAAGGAAAAGGTGTGAAATACCACAAAAAGGATGGTAACTCAGTCTCACCTGGATTGATCTAGTGATGATGATCGCAGTGATGATGATCGCAGGTTCTTCGTGTCCGAAGATTGTTTGTAGTTAGTACATCATTCAGCACTCACAGCATTTTTATGTGACGTCATTGGGACTCCAACAGGGAGGCAGGGGCAGCTGTGTGTATTTCTGTACACTTACATCAAGTTAGGAGACCCAGGAATGCCTGCTACCTGAAGCTAGTCTCTACTACCAGACTCCAATAGGTTGCTGGAAGAATAGTGGAAAATTTGCCAAATAGACTGACGTCAGAGGAGTTAGCCAGCCATAGAATTACTGTCTGGAACTAAACAGCTTGCAAGTTGCAATTTTATGGCTCAACTCCTCTGGAATGTTATTCAACCTATTTATATAATATGTTACTACTGGTACTACTTTTTTTTACTACAGTCTGATAAAGACTACTGTATTAAGTGTTTTTAGACATCTAGAGACCTTGTACCCTCTGAAATACTGACTTTATGAATAATAGGAATAGTTTAATAATGTGAATAGTTTAACAAAGATGCCAGAATAATATATTAGAACAACTTGATGCTAAACTAAAACCTAGGTTAGAGTGTATATTATATGCTTGAACAAACAAACTAATCTTTAAGTAAGTCATATATGCTTGATCTACAATCCATTGTAATATAAATCAAGCACACCAATATTGTATCATACATGGCACTCATGGCATTTGGCATCTTTTTGCTTCATTGAAGTAGAAAATGAGTAGCCTCTACCAGGCTTCGGGAAGCGGCTGGAATGAGTAGAAATCAGCCAAATAGAGAGGTAGCATGCCAAGGGAGTTGGTCTGCTGGTGAGAACAGTTTGCCGATTTCTACTCTTTCCAGCCACCTCCCGAAGCCTGGTAGAGGCTAAAAAATAAGTGAAAGTGCTGTACAGAAGTAATCACTAATACTGATGCATGTGAGATATTGTTGTGTTACTTTCGTTATGTTAGTTATAATCAATACAATTCATGTATATATCTCTCCAATGTTGATTGAATAAATAGGTAACATTAGTATGTGAGAATTTGGTGCATAATTATTGTGTAACAGTTAGTAACATTAGTTAAGTGTAAGGAAAGTAGATACAGAACTCTTTCTGGACGTTCCTCCCCGACGTTTTGAAATGGAACATTCCAGAAGGGGCAGGAAGAGCCTTTTGCTATTTGGGGTGACAGCTGTCAAGACCCCATAGACTTAAACTGTTTGCACTGTTACTTTATTGCTGTTCCCTGGATGGTCAGCATGAAGAGCTGCATATTTTTGGCGTTGGTCGGACTGACCACTTTGACCACTGTGCACGTGTATGCATATGGTGGGTAAAATTGTGTATTTACATTAACATATGTTACCAAAATTTAATCCCTGAGCCCTTATTGGAAAAAAGCCATCCCGACTGTTTTACCAAACGTTTCAAATATCAATTTTATCAAACCCATTATATTCATAATTTTGTCTTCAGAGATAATGTGTGAAACCCAAGATCTTGGTAGATAATTAACGGAGGGGGGGGGGGCTAAATTCGCCACTGTACCGTAAATTCGCCATTTAATGTTTCCATTCTTGAGGTGGAAAGGTACAGCGTTAAGGTAACTTTAACAATAAGATTCAGAAAAAAAGGGCAAATTTACGGCCCATTACAGAATTAACTTGAACCTAGTTTCTCTCTAGTTGACGAGTACACGGACACGCTGACGGGGTGCCAGTGCTGGTTCGACAGTTCCCGGTGGGACTGTGCCTGCTGCCGCCCGGGCGGGTGTCAGTGTTACACCCCCCAGCCGCACCGCTGTATCCCGTGCGGCACCGACTGTGGCGACTACCCCTTGTGTAGGTACAACTTCGTGTCCTCCTGTGCAGGCCTCCGGGCGGGTGGGAGTTTTGATACTGCGTTTTGTAGAATTTTTAAGGCGTTCTTTTAATTGCCGGCCATCTCATCTACAACCATTCGCCTGCACAGGAGGCTACAACTTCGTGTCCTCCTCTGATTTGTGCAATATACACGCCGATTTTGACATATTCTATTCTAGAGAAATTCTTCGCTTCTTCTCGAGTCACTACTTCACTATGATATACTCTCCCGGTTCTAGTACTCCACATACCCCCTTATAAACGCTTTGTTATATACCACGTTGATGTCACATATGTACAGTATATCAAACATAGGGAACTGAGATGTAAAACGAAACACCCACATATTTTTAAACTAATGAGGATACAGGAGCATTACGTATATGGCGGAGGGGGCATCTAACAGGTGTTCTGGCTCCCATCACCCCCGGCCAGTGGACAGTCCCGAAGTATACTATCATTGTAACATGGTTGTCGTGTAAATATGTTACCTGCTCTTTATCACAAAGGAGAACAGTTATCAATTATATATTTTTTTACAGACGAACACTACGATTAAACAACAATTTATAGACCTTAGAGGATAGCAAGCTAGATGATAGAATAGCACAAAATAGTTCTTATGATATACACACAGAGGAGAATCTAGATATGTTGCTTAATGCAATGTCTTGAACACATATAGCTCTAGACATCTTAAGATCGATGAAGACATAGAAGAAGGTTTTTCAGACGTGTTTTCCAACAGTCCCCTGGGCCATAGACAATGGTGTTGAGCAGCACGTGGCCAGTTCGTGTCCGCAGTGCGTGTGGACTGTGATGACCATGTTCCAGTCCATCTCTATTCCATCTGGGTATGTATCCATATACTAGATAGAATTATAATCATACATGCAACAGTTACAACCGAAAACGTCCTTACGTTGTTACCTCCGGGGAAGGAGATATCCTTCCGCGAAAGGGTTACTAGTATGTAAGTGGTCGATGTTTTTGTGTTCGCAGCTGTAACTCACAGTGGGCTTGACCAATTTCTTTGGGTCTCAGTATATAAATTGCTATTGGGGTCCATGATGCGAATCGTTTTTTTTTTCTTCCCACTTGCTTCAATGCAGTGTACCGTTACTTATTATATTCACAAGTGTGTGTGTAAAAATACTGTACCGATACACACGTAAACACGTAGTGAATGAAAGAATATTGAGACAACACAATCACAGCAACACATATTATGGTCCTACCGTGACTAACAAATACGTATTTCACGTTGTTTATTTTCAGTTTCGTCACCAAAACCTACAGTCCATCAGACGAAGATCTGATCAACCCAGAGCGAGGCTGGTGGAAATTTAAGGCCGTCCACGCCTCGGACTACCATGTCCTACCGGTGATGGGTTTTGCAGTAGAATTTCCATTTCGTAGAGAGATAGAGAGGCAATATGGTGCACAATAAGCTCTTAGTTCGTTTGTTTGTTTGTTTGTTTGTTTGTTTGTTTGTTTGTTTGTTTGGATCTTTGTTTATCAGAGAAGCCCAAATCGGCCTGTAGAATAAAGGACATGTGATCTTAAAGACACAGGTCAAAGTTGCCCGGAAGTCTATACCATCTGTCATCTCCTCCGTCTAAAGGCGATAACACGTCTGAAGGGTCAGCATAAAACATGATAAATCCAAGGCACATTTAGGTTGGTATTGAGTAGTTCGCCAGGGAAAGTTGCTTTTGCTCCGCCCCAACCACGATAAGACTGGATACCAGGTTTACCGTGGCCGACAAGAACAAAATTTTACACCGCAACTTTTGGTGTTTTACACCGCAACTTTTGGTGTTTTACACTGCAACTTTTGGTGTTTTACACTGCAACTTTTGGTGTTTTACACTGCACCTTTTGCTGTGTTTTATACTGCAACTTTTGCTGTGTGGAAAACTTACACCCCTCCCCTTTTATAATGGACGGTCCCCCTGTCAGGTCAAAGGTGACAAAGATGCCGGCGGCCTGAGAGTCACAGTGTCGTGCTGTGACTGAGTGTGAGACATCAACAGAATGGGATCTTAAGAAATTGATCAAGCTGTGAATAAATTGATGATTTATAATTCTGTCTGTTCTTCTTTGTGTTCTAACTTTACTATACTTACACAACACTGTATTGCCTCCATGATGACAGTTTATAAATTAGTAATTGACTAATTAACATTGATTAGATGTCTTATTAACTATAAATATTGTATACAATATTATTCTACATTTGTATACGAGCGATCGCTGTTTTTGTTTACATTATACGCATGCAAATTATTTGAAGACATATGCAAATTCTTGGTAGGCAAATCAGCCAACTGGCACCCACTTTTTGCCTACGGTGACGTCATGGCGATCGCTCGTATTGTTCCCTAATGATCGATAACTTACCTGAGTCAAGAGTCAACACTTCATAATTGAAAATAAGTCTTTATTGCTTCATAGTACCAAGTGGTGCCACATTTGACTCCAATAGGCCCAATATTTACTCATCAAATTATTAGCGACCTTGCGAGTCCGAATTCTCTAGCTGGAAAATGTCACGTGACTCAAAGGCCTTTAGAAAAAAACTAACGTCACAACGTAGCCAAGCTTTTCCTCTAAAAAACTTATGCACGAAAAGGATAACTCAGTCGACGTAGTTTGCATGCCATCGTTGTCACCTTTGACCTGACAGGGGGACCGTCCATTATAAAAGGGGAGGGGTGTAAGTTTTCCACACAGCAAAAGTTGCAGTGTAAAACACAGCAAACGTTGCAGTGTAAAACACAGCAAACGTTGCAGTGTAAAACACAGCAAAAGTTGCAGTGTAAAACACAGCAAAAGTTGCAGTGTAAAACACCCAAAGTTGCAGTGTAAAACACCCAAAGTTGCAGTGTAAAACACCAAAAGTTGCAGTGTAAAACACCAAAAGTTGCAGTGTAAAACACCAAAAGTTGCGGTGTAAAATTTTGTTCTTGTCGGCCACGGTACAGGTTACTTTTCATGCTAACACCGAACATTGTTGTCAGGTCTCCCGGCTTCAGACGTTCCGGAGCGAGGGTCACACCCTGATCTTCCGGTACTACGTCCTGGACCTGTTCGTCCACTCGGACATCAGCTCCGCCTTCCTGGCCAACCTGCAGGCGGACCTGAACAACGTCCGGGCGGCTGGAGTCAAGATCGTCCCCCGCTTCTGTTACACGCTCACGGCGGTAGGTGATGGCATGGGTCATTGTTATGTTGTTTATACTCGACAATTAAAGGAATAAACCCATCATTTTTCACTTTCTCATTCAATGTTACTTTAAATGAAACATTGACTAGTAACCTGAGTAGAAAGGTAACATCTGCAAAGCAAATGCATAATGTTTACCTTGGCATATCTGCTCTGTTACTTCTTACTCAAACACATTCATTTAATGATATGGTCAGACAGGCGTCTAAATCCCTCCTGCTATGAAATTGCGACATGATATAACCCAACACTAGTTACTATGGTGACAGACGTCTGGTTGTCATTGGCCATATTTATTTGGAAAAAAAGAAGAAACAGAGCAAAAACAACATGTTTTCCTTCAGTAAACGTAAATATTGAAGGCTTTGTTTACATTTTAGGGCGACTCTACTGACGCCCCCTTACCCCAAGCACTGCGTCACGTGGCCCAGCTGAAGCCATTTCTTCAGGCCAATGGTGACGTCATCGGTGCGGTACAGACGGGCTTCATTGGAACATGGGGTGGGTATTTCATACTTATCATATAATATCCTCCAATAAACACTGTCCCATATTTATATTTGCTGAAACGTTGTTTGCATGCTGCAAAAGCGCCCTTATGCTAGGAAAATCAACTAACGTTAGTACAAACTTTCACAATATCACGGAACTCGCAACATGAACATTACATGTACAAGTGCTTCTTGTACCTTAGAGATTTGCTAACCGCAGTTCCACCTTTCCTGTCTCCAATAGGTGAGGGGTATTACAGCGACAACTACAGCACGCTGAACAGTGTGGGAAACCCTATCATAGTAACAGATGACGACTGGGCCAAACGTGCCACACTGTTGGATGCGGTCCTGGATGCGGTCCCAAACGACAGGTCAAGCTTTACATCGTATAAAATCGGATGAAACTCTAATCTACGAGTAGGTTCAGTGTTAACGTCCCTAAGATTAACACAGTTTTCCTCAAAACAAAATTTTACTAATTTGGAGGAAGGTTGGCGACAGTGGTCGTTGAAAATTTCATCCATGTGTGCCCTTGTGTTGGAATAAACTTAACATCGTACTACCAATACAGGTGGACTTCCATGATAATTGGAGGAAGGTTATTATTAAGGTAAAATTTAAATGCTTTCGATTTTCCCTCCGAAGAAATATCCTTTAAGTTCCGCACATATTTCTAGTACATGTATCTCCAAAAACTATTCAAAGTAGTCAAGCGGTATGGCTAGATCATTGGGTTAATATTCCCTTTATACATCAACACGTATTTGTACAATGTAGAATGGTCCAGATACGGTACATGAAGTACAAACGGAGGTTTACCGGTGATGACTCCCCATTGACTGAATCAGAGGCTCGCAGTGGATCCAAAAAAGCTCGCATTGGTACGAGTACCCATTTTTTTCTATTCAGTTTTAATCCTTTTGAGCCACTGTTTTCTTGCATTGCTGATGTTACAAATTACCAGAGATGGTGTGTAAATACTCTCAGTAGCTCTAGTGCCACTCTTCTTTATCCAGGTCATCACAATGACTGTTTTCTGGCCAGCGACAGAGACTGGGGAACGTTCCAAGACCTGAGCGCGGACTACCCCTACCTGTCAGCGGACACCAGGTACACTGTCATGGGCGGAGAGACCTGCAACTACAACCCTCCACGGTATGTACGCGATTGTGGGATAAAAAGATGCTGTCGCTTTCCATGGGACAGAGAAGATATCGGTACCATCTGAGGTGGCAAATTCTCATTATGGTTTTTAAAAAGAAGGGTGTCTGTGGAATAAATTTTAATATAATAGCCGTTGCAGATTGGTAGCTTTGACCTTGCTGTCTGGCCTTGAACTTTGCATTATAAGTGCAAAAGGATGCGGTCCAGATGGCAACGGCAATCATATTGAAGTATATTCCACAGACACCCTACTTTTCAAAACCATATGTGAAAATTTGCGGGTCTGGCCCATGGACAAATAGGCTTAACAAGTACTAACAGATCCACATCCTGACTAATGTAACAGATTTAAATTTGTAGTTTTCATCTCTCGAGATTGAAGGATGTCTACTGATGTTTTCCTCATCATTTGCCCTGTACATCCTGTACTGTCACGGTCCAGGTCGTCTTGTGACACAGCCGAGCGGGAGTTGGCTCTCTTCCACTGGTCCTACCTGAACCCCACCTTCAAGCAAGATGTCACAGACGAGTGGAAGCAACAAGGCTGTTACGATAGGTACGGGATCGTTAATCTTGTCTCTCTAACGTGGACATAATTGCTTATCAACCCTTTGATTAGCAGATTCTCAGAATGGGGCTAGTAAAGTTTGGCTGATTATTAGCCTGAATAAAGCTATATGCATGTTATTCACACAGCGCCAAGTAGGTATTGGTCACATAAATTGACCGCATGATATGCAACATTTAGGTCATTATGTTTGTTTGCTTTCTGAGGCAAAAAAGACGAAGCGAAAACGACATTTTGGGCTATAGATGCAACTGCTGCCCGCTAGAACTCATGACTGCACTACTATAATGTTTCGTGTAAGTGTAAGGGTATGTCAAGGTCAAAGACGAAGACATGGTAGCTTAAAGTGACCTCAGTCTCGATGGGTGACCCTTACAAGTTCGTAAGATGGCCGCCGATGTTGTAGATGTACGTACCCGGGACAAATGACACAGGAGCCAGAGCTACATAGTGACGTGACTGTATTCTCTTCTCTCTCAAACGGGAACTCTGCTGAACTGTTCTAACTACAAGAGTACTCGGGCTTTTATATAGTTTGCCCGCCTACACACAGGTTTCTTGGAACAAGTTGGATTCTTCGTATATCAGTCATCGTGAGTCATATCCTCTCCCTTTCTTAAGACGTTACTGGTCAGCCCCTTGTATCCCCAAATATGGTTATGGTCAAGCAGTCGGGCTTAGACCCCATGGGAGGTTAGGCCATTACTGGTGTCACTCAAAGGTCGCCTACACTTTCTCAGAAGACAGGAGGGTTACAATGACTCACGGTTGCACCAGGAATTTGTACAAAAGTGTAACAGAAACTAATATTATATATATAGCAAAAACTATAACATATCAGGTCAGAGCACCCTATTACATGCTCCCCTTTCAAAATGGAGCCGCAAAAACTATAACATATCAGGTCAGAGCACCCTATTACATAAGGGTGTTGTTTATAGTGTTACAGCAGCGGTAAGTTGTGATGTATGAAAAGTCATGTATACAGCCATGACTAGTAGTAGGGATTTAAAAAAAATACATTTTTGCCGTGAAGAATCGGCCGGCATCTCGGTTACCGGTTGGAGCTGGTGTCCGGTACGTACCGCAGCGCGGTGCCGCAGGGAGGGACGTTCTGCGGCCGGCTGGAGATCAGGAATGTCGGGTACGCCGCGCCCTTCAACCCGCGGGACGTCAGAATCGTCCTGCAGCAGGACGGGTGAGACTTTTTAAAATTTAAAAGTTTCTTTCTTTTTACCAACAAAGCTAAAATCACTGTACCCATATCCCGATGTTTATAAACGGTAATAGCAAACCTGAAGATGTTGGCAATAATCCTCACCTAATGATGTTTCAAACTGAGAAGAAGGTTGGAGTGTTCGGTACTGTATCGGTCAAAAAAGCCTGTGATTCTTTTGGCATCCAAACACCTGCCTTACTGACATTGCATATGTACACAAGGGTGTGCTAGGGTAACTAGAACGTCACATCTGATGACGATAGTCTTTAATCATGCAGTATTTCAACATTGTTGTTTCTGCGGACAGCGTCATCGTGACGTCACTGATGGTGACAGGTGTAGACCCACGTGACTGGCATCCGGGTACTTTGCACACTGTCCCCATCTCTGTGCAGTTGCCTAGCAACGTGACGCCAGGAAGCTATCAGGTCAGAACAGACTTCGACCTGTACTTAATGTCAAATTCTGTTTATTCATATTGGGAGATATTTCGACGAAAATAGCTCAATGTAATTAGTAACATGACAACTTGTCAGAGACAACGTCCGGCTTTTAACTATAGCTAGACTATATTAATGGCACATACCGTATATTCGACTGTAGTAATTTGTGTACAATGTACACTATAGAGTTCCTGGAGTAGCAGAGAGACTACGTGTCTTAAAAAACTTCCCACCCTTCGTTCTCCTCTAGGCTGTGGCTGTATAACGGCATTTGGGTGTTGTTTCAAGTCATGAAGTGATTTTACAAATGGATCCTGTGACGTTCGCAGGTGTTCCTGTGGCTGTCTGACCCCAGTCCGACCATCTCAGACCGGGCGGAGTTCAGCATCCTGCTGGCGAACACCGGAGTACCGGACCCCCTCACCGGCCTCAACAACCTCGGGCATACACTGCAGGTACTCTTATTTATTTGCTTGTTTGTTTGTTTGTTTGTTTGTTTGTTTGTTTTTTTGTTTATAAGCATATAACCAAAGTATAATCTGCAGAATTCAACCGTTTCCCCTTTTTTATTTTTTTTTTAGATCTGGTACCATATAATTTAGATAGAGTAGTTTTGATAGAGTTGTAGTCTAGGCTCATAATTATAACAAAAACTGTCTTGTCGATTCTGCAGGTGGAGCCGACTGGGTCCCACTCGTCTTGCTGACGCAGGTGACTGTCTTTCAGACTGTCTTTCAGACGACATTCCTTCGGAGACATCCGTGTCAGTACATCCGAAGCACTCATACTGATCAGTGAAAGAGAATAAAAAAATCTTACTATCATTAACAGTTATGTATTGTATCTCTTTTTGTTTCTAATGAATAGAACACACAATAACGCAGAACACATGCGCCCGATTAACCCTATAAAACAATGGAAAATGTGTGTATGAACAGTTGAACACTAACCCTTTAGTTCTAAGTACTAATTGAAATAACCCAAATGACCCTGTCTGTCACATACGTCATGCAATCATTGCACGACCGCAAACCGAGGGCATTGTTGGAATAGTTGTGCATACGTATGCTGCCATTCAGCTATTTTGTTACTGTAAAGACTAAACACTGTCTTAGATCCTTGTCAGTGGTTGGTTCTGTCACAGCCTGCCTGAAAGGTCTACGGCATGAAAATCCGACGACGACCTACCTACGACGAATTCGTCCGCTACTAGCCGTAGGGTCTTTATTCGTCCTTCAACTTTAAAGGCCAAAGGACTTTGAGAGGTTCGTGACTCTGTGAGTGTCCCTTTGACCTACAATGTAACTGTGACGACTGGGTGACGCGTTTCCCTCAACTTTGAGGACTTTGACAAGCACTTAACAAGTCGTGACTGTACCTGTGCCGCTGTGACGTAACTGTGACGAGATCTTGACGCCTTTTGCTAACAATGCAATTGATTGCTTGTTAGAAATGTTTGATATTTCAAAAAGGATGTGACTACGTTTTTCTCAACATACTAGTACTGCACAAATCAATAAGTTACAGTATACCGGATGGCCCATATCACACTAAAAATACTCACACGAACGGCCCAGAATCCGCCTACACACGCCCTAACAAATGGGAAAACATTCCGACCTATCTACGTGTTTTCCAAACGTCCGCTGATAACGTGTGTAAATACCTTAAGCAATTCGAGCCAGGTGAGTTTGCACAAGCTAACGTTACTCTGCGTCGCTGTGTATTGTGGAGTTGAAATAAAAGCACATACCTTAAAATAACCTGTTCACCCGTGCACTGTAACAATACAAGCAGGTTTACGCTATTGGAAATTAAATTCTAAAGCGCATAAACTTATCAGAACAAAGCACGCGTCAAAGCGAAGTCTCCATTCTTTATCAACCGATAGGAGTCTGTGTGTTTTGTCTTTAACACTACCCATACATTCTTCTCATTATTTACCATCACTCATAGATACTCGTAGATAGCATATAAAGCACAGCGGATCGTAGGTGACGGCGCACTTTGGCGGCAAAATGTCTCTCAGCGGGTTGGTATTCTCTCTCCTCCTCTCTGTTCTGGTGACAGAATGTTTGTCGTGTTCTCCGCCGATGAACTGGAGCCATCAGACGGTCGAGCAGCGCGCGGCCATGGCGCACAGGATCGTGTACGCGACCGACGTCGGGCATCAGAACGTGGTTCTCAACCCGCTCGGCGCGTCCTACGACGGGCAGTTTGACGTGCACTGTGTGCTGAAGGTGCGTTGTTGCCATATTTTTTTCTATTCCACATTTATTACAAGACATGACGACGGCACTGTCAAGTATTTTTAACTTATTTTTATGCCGCCACCAACGCAGACAAACGCATGAACGGACGGCAGACGTACCTGTTGTTCCATTGCTTCATTCACATATAGGAACATTTCAAAAATAATGAAGTACTTCATATACTTTTTCTTTGTACTTTGGCCAGGCATGAATCTTCGTTTTATGTGCATTAGTCTTTCAGACATTTTGTCATATACGTATATATGAATGTGTTTGATTAAGAATTAACAGAGCAGACCTTATGCGAAGGTAAACATTATGCATTTGCTTTGCAAATGTTACCTTTCTAGTTAAATATCAACAATCAGGATTCAGAGCCAGTAGACCCCATCACTTAGAGGATATATCTGTTGTGTTTGTAGGGAGAAGAATTCCAGTCCAACCCGGTGTCTGTGGCAGACATGGGCATCATCCCGCACCTGTGCACGGCTCACACCGTGAAGGAGGGCCGCTCGTACTTCCTGTTCCTCATGGGCAGCGAGGAGGAAGTCGTCACCGTGCACGAGGTCAACTACGAGATCGGGGTCTTCGATGATCTCGACGGGTATCGCGACATCTTCGATCGCGAGTTCGAATTTTACAGCAGGTAATCATCATTATTGGTCGACCGTATTGGTCGGGGTTATACGCCCCTTACGAGGTGACATACCCTTTCGTTAGCTTAATACAAGACAGGGTTCACCAGGCCTCCGTCCAGGTGATGATGTAAATAACAAGCAATTAAAGTTACAGACTTCATACTTGGTCATAGATAAGAATTTTTGTGTCTTCTGATATGACGAGGCAGTTGCATGCCCTTGGTTATAAACTAGTTATTGAAGCAACAGTAACGTCTGCATCAAAGAAATGTAGGTTTTTTTTTACTAGGGTATACGGGCTTTAGCTATTTCGGACCAGAACTTTCAAGGCCTGTTAGAAACTGAAATGGCAATGCCAGTGGTTAGAAAGAGTTATTGTGTTGACGTTTTTCACTTTTGCATTCTTTATAAATTTGTGATCTTCTTTTTTCACACAGGTGCCTTGGAGGGAACTCTCCAACCAGCAAAAATGCCAACACGCCCGTGGAACGTTAGCACGACAGCACATCCAATATACATTAACACCTATACAAATTACCACGACGACATGGCAACATGGAAAACAGTAACCGTAAAAGAACAGGATTTTGACAAATCTGTAATCAACATGCATGACACAAACTGTCTAATCGACGTGTATGAATAGCCATAGTGTTCATCATAGACATTTTGTGTTTGTGAAAGAAAATAACTACATATTATATTGTTTTAAGCGAAGCTTGCAATAAATGTGACGTTACGAATGGCGTGTGATGTGTCAGTACCTTATCTACTGTTATCTAAGCTTTAATAGATGCATCCAAACGGAATACATTTTCTGGACCTAATGTTTCCCGAATTTTCCTAAAGAAACCACTCCTTAGCTTCGGCAGCTACTTGTAATTTGGCCGTGGTAGCCAGCGACATTAGCGGAAATTACGGATGATGTCACCCAGGCTAAATTTGAAGATATTCAATGTAAAATACGCATGGCGGTGAAGCATCCGATGAGCAGGATGAGATGAGAAGCAGTTCCGCTAGGTGCCGCTCCTACCGGTCCGGGCGTGGTGGTTGTGGTCTTGGGCGTCTTTGTCGTTGTCTGCCCCGGGGTGACGTCACACCGGAACCGGCCCAAGGCCGCTTCAAATGTCTGCCGTTACAGAGGGGGAAAGAAATCCTGATATATATGTCTTTGCCTATACACAATTTGCCTTTTTATCCTTTACGATTATTTTTCCTTTACTTGATGTTGCATTAAGCCAATTTTCAATTCAGCATTTGATATTACTAGTATATGAAACATGTGGCATTGTTACGAAAGCATTTGGTAGATGGGGTCTTAACAGGAAGTATTATCAGTAAAAGCCATCCGCAACGAAAAAGTATTCATGCTAACTTAAGATAAGTTTTTATCTCCAGACTCACCTGTATGTTCTCGCTGGAGTATTCATACACCCCCTGCTGGTGGTTCACTTCGTCGATGTTGTAGTATCCGTCCGCCTCGTCGTACCACAGAAAGAGAAAGTAGTCCGCCCCCTCCCTGACCTCATGCGCGGTGCACTGGCCGCCGAACGGACTCGGGACGCCCATGTTCTGGACGTGGAAGGGCGACGCGGGCTGGCCGTCACCCTTCAGGACACAGCGGAGGGAGAACTGTGTCCAGTACGACACGCCGTTCGGGTGTCGGGTACGGTTGTAGTGGAGCTGGTCTGTCCCCACCACGATCCAGTCCGCGTTCTGTCAAACCAAATAAGTTCATGATTTCATTTAGTAAATCATCACATTTGAAGACATACACAAAGCATTAGTCACTTTTCTTTCAGTAGTATAATCCAATTCAGTACTGCATCAAAATCAAGAACCGGGGTACGTTGGGGTACCTGTACAAGTATCCATAGGCTTTGAGTCTTTTACAGGTATTCCAGCAAGATGGATTTTTGACACCGCTTCGTCAATGCATTGACCACTCAGGCGACAAGATATTCACTATATCAAGGGACAAAATAATCAAGTCTTGATTTGCTTGTTACCAGGAAAGTCTGCTAGTAACAGGTTAGTCGTTTCGCCAATGACGCACGTCTCGGGACTCAACTTCGCCAAAGTCTCTCACCTGAATACGGGTCTGTAGAGGAAGCGGTTTCCACCCTATCGGCTCCGAGCACGGCGAGACGGGACCGACGTGAACCATCAGAACAAAGAACGTCCCAAACACGACACTCACTGCCGCCGACATGACAACTTTCCCGTTTTCTTACCAAACCGTCTTCGGCAACCGCTTCCCAGAATATTCACGGGTCAAGTGACCAACTTATCAGCTGTTTGTTGGCATCGCACCCACGGCGTTTCCTTGACTACTTCCGCACATTGTCTCCTATATTAGTCATCGCAAGCGCGTTGCTAACCAAGTTTCAAGGAGCACTTTTTGTTGCTTTTCTAGTGATCAGCGGCCGCGGGGGTCCTTTTATAAACAGAGCATGCAGCAAAAGAAGATTGAGCGACTTGGATTTGACTAGACGTGGGAGTGACTGCATCTTAGTGTATCTAAGTACTTAGCATTTTTATTGTCATACCACTACTTTGTCTCAAAGACCATAATGATAATGGGTAGGGTTTTCAAGTTCGCAGCAGTACTAGTAGATGTGTGTCCAAATTCTAGACCAACGTTCAGTCACCATAATGATTGTGCACTGCTGTTCCTTCTTTTGTTGTTTTCTGTGTGATTTAACACGTCAATATTTTTCATCCTCGCTCCTCAACCTTGACCTTCACACCTTTACTATGGCTGACGAAGTGTTACTTTTTGCTCGGTTGTCTGGGAATGATGGGCCTAACGTTTCATTAATAGGGCACTGTGTCAGGAACGTCTTACGACAGGTTTGCGACAGTCGTAGATGTGTCGTAAAAAGTTCAGCTGTCTTGTGACGGAAAAGGTTATAGACGGCTAGCCTCACTAAAAATCCTACGACGCCTCTAACATTAAAACAACAACTACAACCAATAAAGCTAAATAGTTTGTCCTTCCACCACCACCCCACTAAATACTCTGGTTACCAGCACTCAAATAGGTTAACGGGGATGTGGGTATCAAAGTACAATCTAGAGAGGGTAAACAATTACAATTTAATTACAGGTTTATGGCTAGAGACGAACAAAGCACGCTTACGTTACTTATGGGTGGGTATTCAGGTAACAAAGTTTAAATCAGCACTAGGGCGACAAGGCGGAATAACATGTACAATTTAGGAGATACGTGCTGGCATAACAGTTGGTCTTGAGTATTAGACAGATTTCGACTTGAAATGCATAGTAAATAGTCGAATGATTTCTGTTTTCACGTCAGACATATCATCAATAGTATCTAAGTTATGCAATATTTTAGGACAGGGAAATTTACATGTTTACAGATATTTTCTTGGCGTCAGAAACACTGAGTACAAAGTATTATATTTTAACTTTGACGTCCAAACAGTATCAGAGACGGGTGTACATAGGGTACGAGCTAGCGGAAATAAGTGTCTATTCTTCTGTATCTTCAATTCATATAGCACAATCACGGTTATTATTATTCATCCAAACACCTGTACCATGGCATGTATCCGTAAAATATAGTTCACTAGGTAAATGTACATGTAGCTAAAACCATGGCATGGGAGATGTCGTCAAAGTGATTCCGAGTCTTCCTTGTCGAGGAAACTGGACGACTAGAGCAACATGGCGATGTTCGCTATGAAGAGGAAAGCTGCAGGTACTATGGCATGTAGGCTTATTTTCGTTGCGGCAGCGCCCCCTACACAGCCGTCCTTGTCACAGCAAGACACGCAGGAGAACACACTGTCTTCCAGCTTGCAGGCTGCGGGGTTGGCCCTCTTACCTGCAGAAAAGATGCAAGATGTTTGATACGTCTTCCATTCGTTCCATCTTCGTTGTTTATCATTTCTATGTGTTTGCCCAACTCATAAGTACCTTATACAGTGTTATACAGTGTTCCACATTATGTGTTATACGTTATAAGGAAGTCGAAAAATATTGATGAAGTTTTTTATCTGTAACTGACGAATGTGTGTTGTTCGTACAACTGTATTTCTCTCACCTGCATCACAAGCTTCCTGCGTGTCACAGACGTTCTTCCAGCCTTCACCTCTGTCTTTAAACTCTGGAAAAGGTTCACATACACACAACGTTGCAGACATTACCTTGGGTACTCTAAGCTGTCTGGGTACATTTTATTAGATTGCGATAGCATAATGCGACTTGGTGCCACCGTTGCCATGTTACTTTTCATAAAACATGCCACCCGCTAAAACAAGACCACCTCGGCTTCGAATTCTTGCATTCAAATGTAATGTAATGCATTAGCCACCATCACACATAACCTACACAAACTCATATGGGTGAACCAAAGTGTACTGGAGGTATATTGTACTGACATTATATAGTCAATATGTCATATGTCAGTATGCCATACGTATATACGTAGACATGTGCACCATGCAAAGGCGTGAGTTACATTTCATACTACCTAGTATATAGTTCAATGGGCACCAGAGAGTATCACACTTTCATTATCTGTTCGACCTTACCATGCACTGCTGAACTGCACATTTCATTAAATTCTCATTCTTTATTCTGTTGACTGCGGCAACCATGTACATGTACATGTACAATGCTATATACATGTACCGCCGGTTGCAGCTATTGTAGCAAACAACTATCCTTTATACCACCATTCTAGCTACTGTTTGCCACCAAAGCCACAATGTAAGCGTATAATTGTAGTCCCTACTGGAATGGGTGGTGACACAGAGCTGGTTGACAGAGCACGTGACCCACGGTTGCTCCAGGCATTGTGCCCTTGTACGCTCGTAGCCACACCAGGGACACTTCACAGCGTTACCTGCAGAGAGTAATGACCCCCCCCCCCCAAAGTACATAATTCTGTCAACTGGTTTGCTAGTTTGCAACATTCCCTAAACAGAGACATTTAGCCACACAAAGTGATCGTAAACAAGTCCAAACCAACAAAATTTAAGCAGTAACAATCAAGCAAATTCTGAGCTTGCCAAAAAATTACCCTACGAATAATTACATGAATGTATGTGGAACCCATAGGCGTCAATCTAGTATAGTATACCTTACAGTAAAGCAAAACATCAGCACCTTTTTGCAAGAGCCCGACCAGCAAAATAAGCCTTCTGAAAGGCGTGAATATTTGTCATCTCTGCTTAAGTTGAAGACTTAATTTTGTTAAATATACTAACGTAAACCCAGAGTGATAAAAAGGGGCACATTACCTGCAGGTATGCATGCCAGTACGACTACAACCACCGTGTAGAACAAACGCATCTTTGTATTGCTTCTCTCTTGCTATTCCTCGTTCGTCCAAATAACGATGTATGTACAGCTCACTGAATGATATAGTTCAATACACAATTTGGGTGTTAACCTGTCACATTGAATAAAATGCTTCGCTAGTCATTTGCGCTCTATGGAATTCTGACATTCTTTCATGGCTTGAATTGAACATTTCTGAAATATAAAAAAAAATGATAGCTTTGAAAACAGGCCCAATCATCGAAAGTTTGTTGACACGTAAAATTGTATGTTCTGGCGGCTCTTAGAAAAGGCTCAGCTGGTAACTACCGATAATTAGGATACGACGCATGAAGACTGAATATTTTATAAGGGGACTAATGAATGGCCCTCAGGCTAAGAGTACGGTGTTTATTTCCTGCTGGTCGAACAACGACGTAATAGCGAACTGCAACAATGCACCTGTTATAAGTAATGATTAATATGCTTAAGAGTTGTAAGCAATGGTATGTACGCACAATATGCATATATGATGGCGTCGACATATATGTTAGATAAAAACAGAGGTTCAAAGCAATATTACTGCATAACATAGTTTTGATGATTATTGTACATGCATATATTCAGATAGACTAGGACTAGAATCTTTTCAGCATAAGGTGGTACAATTTTTAGCATGTACAATGAAATATTACTTTAAAATTTTACACACGATCATATTTGAATCAGGCGTGTTTTCTCTCAAAGCTTGTGCTTCATGTTTTTAATTTGTCTGAGATGTAATCACTTGCAGTTACGCTCTATTTCCACGTTAAAGCTGCTGACTGCCCAAAATGGGAATGTTTGTATGGATGACGTCACAGCTGCCATGCGTAGAATGGGCCTAAAACATTGCCCTGAAAATCCTTGCTTTCCTCGACAAGTTTGGAAATTTTGAGGGTAAGAAGGGAAAGGTAGGGTCTACACTTTCTCAGTTTGGTGAAAACGTGATCAGCTAAGCAGTTTGCCGTAACTTGTCGGACAGGTTTGAGCCGCTACATGGCAACGCCCCGGATGAACTGATGGGTAACTGAGATCAGAGGTAGGCCGTATTTTACTGTTGTTAACTCTTGTACCCCCGTAAGGACGTCATTGCAATTGTGACCTAAGCATTAATGGGCGCATTGTATCAACCAAGATAGGAATACTAACCAGCCATTCCATGGTATTAACCCTATTTATACCGGGCTTTGTGGTGCATCAAGCCTCCGCCAGTCCGCCCCTAATTAACTATAGAAAACCTGTTTTAACCATAGCATACAAACAAACATGACAGCATTCAACACTTGTTGCCCTAGTAGTACGAAAGAAACTAATAACTTTCTCAGAAAATTAATAAAACATAAGACAACTTTCTTTAAGATCTACATAAGTTGTATCGTAAACTCAAAGCACCCATCTTTCTGCAAGAAAACGAATGGAAATCTTAAAGAACATGGAAAGTTTCTCTATGCACAGGGTCACCTCGCTCCAATGGCTAGGCGCAGGGTCGCTTCGCCCCAGTGACAACCCTGAGTACCTGAGTAAAACATCTCGTGTGTCTACCTGATCACTATATGTTCTTTAAGAAGTGATGAAGAATTCACGCAAGCCCTAAATGTTAAAACGATGTGACTATACATGCCAAACATCTGAAAGCGAGACTTTTAGAAAAATGTGAAAGCAGCCTTTTTGACAAATGTGTGATTTGCCCTAGTTGCTCACTAGCTGTTAAATCATGCAGGAATTTCTCATTGTCCCTAAACTCTGACTGACTCCTTTTGTGTCGATCAAAAACATTCTGCTGCAGGTTTCAGATGATTGCGCAGTTCTGTATTTTTCACAAAATTTGAGATTTTCTACAAATTTGACAACGACGCTTTTCCATTTTATTGTCGTTACATCCACATAGATAGATGTAAATCCACATAGATACTCCTGTTAGTGTAATTAGTGAAATTAGCAGGGTACTAGGGTTCATTCAACTCCAGAGGTCATTTTGCGGGCGTGTTTTGTCTGGACTGCATGGACCTTACCCTTTCCTTGTCAAAATGCGAGATTTGTTTATATATTAACCAACCAATTCTCTTGACTAATCTCCACCACCACGAAGGCACTAGGTCTTTTAACCGTTGATACACTGGATCATCATGGAGTATGAAGATGTACTGCGGCAGTACCTCGGTGAGTTCGGCAGGTACCAGAAACTGGCAGCTGTGCTCATCATCCTGGTCGGTCCGTCTGTCGGCGCGACAATGCTCGCCCAGGCTTTTCTGGCGGCTACTCCCGGTCACCACTGCCGGCTCTACCAGAACAACTCTTCGGGCATGTATGGCCACCCCTCCGGTAGACTCAATGTCAGTGTTCCCATGGAAAACGTGGACGGTGCGTCGAGGTTCAGCTCGTGTTTGATGTACAACAGAAGTGGTGGAACAGCAACAGGGGATAACCTCACAGTAATATCGTGTATCCACGGCTGGGAGTACGACCAGAGCATATATCACAGCACTGTTGTCACAGAGGTAAGTTCGCCATATATAGTGCAAATTGTCGGTAGTTTGGAGTGGGGAATACGAAGGTCAAGTTCAATCATGGGAATTCTAGCTACTTTCTAAGATGCTGCAGCAGTAATTGCAGGTTTTATATGTCCTGAACTGTAGGTCAAGATACTCGAGGTACTAAAAGTAGGTCATACCAATGGTTGACCGTTCACAAACAGGGGGGAGGGGGGGGGGCAATGATAATAATGATAATACCTATTTCAGGAAACCATCTTGAGTGCAGGTGCGTTTAACCAAAATGCCCTGTTTTGCGCTGATTTTTTTTAGTAATGGTTAGATATGATTTGCATTTTCCCACAAGTACGACCTTGTGTGTGGGCGCCACTGGTTAAAGGAACTGGGTCAGTCCATCTTCATGGTGGGGATGTGCGCTGGGGGTCTAATCTCAGGAATGACATCGGACAGGTAAAAATGTTTCTTTTTTCTCTGGAAGAAAACAGAAACACAATGTTCTCACCGTCTGCCATGAAGGCATCTGGGATCATTGCACAAAAACATTTTACTTTGTACATTTTCAATTATATTGTGAACTAATATTGCTTCTTTACAATAGAAATCATTGTTACTTAAAGTTACAGTCAATAAAAGTAATCCCAATATTTCTATGTTTCGTCAGATTTGGACGCCGTCCAACGGTTCTAGCCTGCATCCTGCTGCAGCTGAGTTCTGGACTTGCTGCTGCCTTCACCAAAGATTTCATTGCCTTCGTTGTTCTCCGTCTGCTTGCCGGCGGCGCTGCCAACGGTCTCTTCTACGTCGGCTTACCACTCGGTATATTAAGTTTGATTCTCATGTCACTCCGTCCATTAGGACAGAAAGACTAAACACTTGACATTTGAATATTTCTTACACATATACACAAGTCTGTCACAATCTGCCTTCATTGATGATTGACGTGTTCCCACTTTTGTTGTCCAGCCTTAGAAGTTATCGGCTCGTCCAAGCGCAATGTGGTGGGAATGACGATCTCGATGAGCTTTATCGTTGGTTCAGTCGTTCTCGGAGGCCTTGCGTACTTTCTGCGGGATTGGTGGAGCCTTCAGCTGGCCCTGGCACTTTTATCAGCGCCGCTGCTCTCGTACTGGTGGTACGTTCATTTGAAACCTTGTATAATGCACAGCATAGTTGAAATGTCTCTTCGCTTGCTAGAAATTTTGTATCTAGGAAATCCAATCCTCTTACGAACTGTCACTTGTAGGCTTCTTCCCGAGTCTCCGCGATGGCTCCTGAGTAACAACCGGACCAAAGAAGCCAGAATCAGCATTCAGAAGGCTGCCAAGGTCAACAAGGTCACCATTCCGGATGATGTATACCATAAACTGACAAAACCGAAAGGCAAAGAACCTGGGGAAAAATCCAAGAAGTACAGTTTGATCGACCTGTTCCGAGGTCCTCGTCTGAGGATGAGTACAATAACGATGTCTTCAGTCTGGTAAGTGAGGGGTACAGCACACGTATATTAGTGATATTTACTCGCCTTCTTGTAAACACTTTTCTTTAATCAAAAAATGTCCACTGTGTACTTAAAAGGAAGGACTCAGCAACAATGATTTTAGATAGTTTGGATGAACAATATTTTGTGCGGAAGTGAAGATAGCTCATTTATGCAATTCAAAAATATCTAAAATTTAGAGACAGGGCGAACACATATATTATCATGATGAACAATAGTCCTATCTTGAAAAGTTCACCTGTGTTGGTAGTTATATGTTTGAATATAAAACGTTTGTGCCAACACAAAGAGAAGTATTTTCACCTGGAGCTTTCGACCAGTAGCTGCTTCTCTAAAGTATGACGTCACCATTGGGTCAAAATTATTTGGTAAACGATTTCGGCCCAGTGTTGACGTCACAATTAAACATTGGTCCTTTTTGCAGAAACGACACAAATAATGATACACATTTCTTACCAATTTTTTCACGTCTTGCTTGTTCGTTTGGTAGGTCTGCCACAGTGGTCGTGTACTTCGCCTTGATCATCGGTTCTGCCGACCTGGCTGGTGACCCTTACCTGAACTTCGTCCTGGGAGCACTGCTGGAGATCGGGCTGTCTCTTGTGGGTTTGGTTGCCATGGAGAAGTGGGGGAGGAGGCCTGTGGTTGGTGGATATCTGTTCCTGTCAGGAGCCGCCTGTCTGGCAGTGGCAGCAAGTCCAACAGGTGGGCACACACATCCTTCATAAAGCTTATATAGAATCAAAACCTCGTTGTAAGTTCTAGCACACATAAAATCGTACGACCAAAGACATCCTTGGTACCACGTATATGACAGAGCTGATTATCAACAGGAACCTGCGACATCCCTTTTTGTCTATTTAACATGACACATCCACGACTGTTATTTCCCAAGTCTGTCGCCACTCTGAACTCGCAACTCGCAACTAGCAGACACACATACCCTTCATACTGCTCATCATATTCGGCCATTAAATGTTTGTACTTGGTGTCAGTCTTTAGTTTCTTCCTCTTTGGAAAACATTTCTTGTGACATAGGAAAACAAATCTACGGATACTTTCAATGGAAGTTTTCACTTCTTCCCTGTTGATGTGACATGACGTTGCAGAGCGACAGGAGGTTATTCGATATTTGTTCTTGGTCGGTCGGTGTGCCATCGGAGCCGCCTTCACCACTCTGGCCGTGTACACCCCGGAGGTTTTCCCCACCGTGGTCAGGTAGAATCACCAAAAATGTTGAATTGTGCATGAACTATTCACTCACTTGCTCTCTTATTCGCATGGTCACGTTGGGCCTTTAGAATTTAGGGACCCTTATACCATATACGAGCGGTCGCCGTGATGGCAATGCTAGCGAGTGGTAGGCCAAAAGCGAGCGGCAGTCGGGTGATTTGCAACCAGATAATTTGCATATCTCTACAAATAATTTGCATGTACATTATGTAACCAAAAACAGCAATTAACTCGTATAAGTGTATGACCAGCCCCCAAGTTTATGTTGTCCTAATGCTATAGACAGGCTTCGTCCTTTTGGCTAATATGAACTAGTTTCTGTTTCTTCAGGACGATGGGCGCGGGCGTGGCCAACATGTCGTCCCGTGTGGGCGGCATCCTGTCCCCGTTCGTGTCCCTGCTGGCTGACGTGTGGCCGCCCCTCCCCATGCTCACGTTCGGGGTTCTCAGCACTCTGGGCGGCGCCGGAGTCTTCAGTCTGCCGGAGACGTTCGGAATCCCTCTGCCGGATACACTGGAAGACGCCGAGAACTTGGGAAGGTACGCTTTGGAATGATAACACAAATCGTCTTGTATTGAATCACAATTTCATAATCTGTGTATGTCTTAGTTTTTGCCCTCCTCTTCTCTGCTTACGTTGTATATGTGAGTTCTCTTTTTTTTTCCACAGAGAGCAACAAACAAAGTTTGACACAGCAGGAAAGATCATCGAACCCGAACGCGACCGTGACCTCAGCTACATTGGACCTGTTGTAGTTAGTGGCCATGTCATCTGGAACAATGACTTTTTCTACTAGTCAGACAGGGCAATGTACATGATTTACACATCTACAGATATTTCTTGGCGTCAGAAACATAGACTACATGTACAAAGCATTATAATATCCTTGAACATTTTGGAAATGTAAAAAAATAAACAGCCCAATCATCGGACGTTTGTTGACATGTCTAAGTGTATGTTTTGCCCGCTCCTAGAAGAGGCTCACCTCGAAAATAGCGATAATTAGGATACGACGCATGAAGTCTGAATATTTTATAAGGTGATTCCTTCCATGTAATACTGCATCAATGCACCTGTCATAAGTAATAATTTTTAAATCAAAATGTGTTTAAGAGTTGTGGAGTGGTGGTATGTACGCACAATAAAATGGCGTCGACACATGTTACATAAAAAAGCCGTGACATTACTGAGGATCACAGTAGTATTACTAGATAATATAGTTTGATGATTATTGTACAACCATATATTTAGATAGACTAGGACTAGAATCGTATGAGCATAATCTGGTACAATTTTTAGCACGTTGTACAGTGAAATATTATCCATGTAATGTGTTGTCAAAAGCAGCAAAGCCAATTGCAATCGGCACTCATGCACCGACTTTTACACACGATCAGATGTGAATCAGACGCGTTTTCTTGCTCTCAGAGCTGGTGCTTCATGTTTTAATTTTTCTGAGATGTAAACGATTGCAGTTACGCTCTATTTCCCCGTTAAAGCTGCTGACTGCCCAAAATGGGAATGTTTGTAGGGTTGACCTCACAGTTGCCATGCGTAGATTAGGCCTAAAAATGCCCTGAAAATCCTTGCTTTCCTTGACAAGTTTGGTACAGTTTGGAAATTTTGAGGGTAAGAAGGGAAAGGTAGGGTCTACGACT